AGTTATTCAGCTCGACCTTTTATAATATACTTTTATTCCCATGAAATTTTTAACATTTTTGAATATTGAGGCAAATGAGTATTCTCAAATAAAAAATTGACTCTGCCATAAACGTTCTTGAGATGTTGAAAAGGACTAAATAAGACGACATTCATTGTTTCTTCCAATTTTGCAAATATTTTTTATATTTTATTGTAATTATATTAATTATTATCTGAGAGGTATGCAATATACTCCAATCGACAGAGTAAGCATCAGAGTTTCATCTCCCATCTGCATTCAAATATCTTGTTCTCTACTACCTTTAAAAGTGTTATAAATAAAAATGACAACTTGGCATAGAAAAAGAATTTTGTGTTCTGCAATTTAAAAGTAGGAATCACTCATAATTGCATAACATGAGTAATTTGAAGGAACTGGAAAAGCTATAGAATTATAGCTGCTGTGGGAGGAGGGACAATGTCATCAGATCGATATATTTGTATGTTCTATTTTTGAAATATATTTCTGTATTAACACGATCATTACAAAATCGTTTTTAATTAAATACTCTACTTTGATAGCTAAAACATTATATTTAGAGCTGTGGATTAAATCTGCGCACACATTCAGGCTTTTTATATTTATGAAAATGACATACTAGGCACCCAAGACCTATAATAGACAAAGTGAGACCACTCACCCATTTATTGGAGAGAGACATACAGAATCTAATGAAGTGGTTACATAACATCATGTTATTTAACAACGAACATATAACTGTACTGGACTTTGTTTCTTTATATTGCCATTTCTTTGCAACCTTGCTTTTGTGCCTTACATAATTGGTTGTTTAAAACTGTGAATGGTCCACACCTCCACAATCAGGTATTAGAGCTAGAACACACATGCTATTCTACATGTTTCAAATTCAATAATATCATTTACCTGCAGTGCAGGGGTTACCAATGGTAAGTCCCCTTTCAGCAGACCTATGTAAACTGATTGTTTATATGCTACAAAATTACCTGTTTTTCTCCCAAATATCATATTTTATGCAAGGTATATTGAAGACATCCTCATCATTTGGAAATCAAAACCAGACATTAACATCTTTTTAGAACATATCAGCAATACATATGGGCTCACTTTTAAACAGTTCAACAATACCTCTGCACTTTTTAGACCTGAACATACAATTCAAAGGTGGTCACATTGAAACTGGGATAAATTATAAACCAGAATACTGACCATTATTTATTTTGGCTTCCAATCTAGCAATCCCTAAAATTACAAAGAGGTGGCATTCAGGGCTCTAACTAAAGATGAGTGTTCAAACACTGCTCAAACATCCTTGACACACTGGATGAATTAAAACACACTCAAGCATGGATATTCTAGAAAAATGATAGAGAGATTGGTGCTTATGTGTGCATGTAAAGCAAATGAACATACTCCAAGAAAATTCTAAAAATCAACAAAATGCAAATAAATCCAAATGTGTAATTGTCTAGTACAGTCAAAGACTCCACCAAATAAACAGAAAAATTTTTTGATAAAATTTCTGTCTGATGGCAAATATTTCTTTGTAAATAAAGATCCAAAGATTCTTTTGAAAACCATTTTATTACGTGTTATAGAATAAAACTTTAGACAACCAGACCTTCTTTTATAGGCTACTCGTCCATCCAGTTAAACCATTCCTTAAAAACAAAAAAAAATATCCAATTAAAAATATAAATTTAAAAAATTGGAACTGGTAAATCTTACGTCGTCTTCAAGTTTTCCATTCAACGGAAATTTTATCAAAATACTTTTGCAATAATTCGTCACCAGGAAATACCAGAAAATCTATATTTAACAGCAGTTTCTTCCAGTGGATATAAAGGTCCGAAATTCCCGAATGGAATAGAATGAAAACCTGAAGATATCGTAAGATCCACCAATTCCAATTTTTTAAATTTATATTTTTAATTGGATATTTTTTTTGTTTTTAAGGAATGGTTTAACTGGATGGCCAAGTAGCCTATAAAGGAAGATCTGGTATCATCTAAAGTTTTATTCTATAACATGTAATAAAATGGTGGTTTGCAAAAGAATTTTTGGATTGACTGTCTTTATTTTTAAAAAAATGTACTTATGTGTAGATACAATCCCCTGGTGTATAACCACCAAAATGGAAATTAAAGCTAACATAGAACAAGCCATGCTAATCAGGCATACCCTCCATACAGATCAAGCCAGATCCCTCGAGACCAAGGAAATATTAAAGGTAGCAAATAGAGAATTTCAACGACAGTGAGAAGTTATCAGCGCCGCCTAGAAATCTTTGTAAGACCACTTGAGAACAACTCAGGAAACTAGAGTTTTTAATTTTTACCAAATCACACATTATTATACAATATGTTAATTTTGTACAGAACATGCTAATAAATTTCAAAGTCATTCCAAGGTTTGAATTTTGTAACAATCATATTAGAACTCGCATATATTTTATAAATAGAAGGTATTAATACATCAGCCTGATAAAGGATATTAACAGGTCAAAAACATTTGTATATTGAAATTATTTGCTAGTGTGAAGATAAGGTTATTTTTATGTTAGTTTTCATATGTTTTAATTTACATTACAACTAAAAACACTGCAAAAGATTTAAAATAAACATTCGGCCACCTTCCATACTGGTTCCATAAGGATCATTTATTGGAAAAAACAAATGTTTCTAATCAGTTTAAGAGATATTCATTGTTGGAAATGTATAACAACCTGACAAAAATCTCTGAAAGTTTATTCAAAAAAAAAATAATAAAACAAAACGTTTGTTTTTTTGAATAAAAGGAATGTTGTAATGCACACTCACAGATATTGAGTATGCATTACAACATTCTTAGATAATAATTAACATAATTACAATAACTTAAAATGGTAGCATTCTTTTTGGAAGACTGTGTATTACGATTTACATAAAAATAACAGTTACTTTACAACCATTACTTTAATCAAATGTTCTTAATGATACATAGCTTATAAAATAAAATCTTAAAAAATTAATATTTTATCTCTTTTATGCACATGCTTTTACTTAGAAATGTCTGAATATTTTATCCAATGTTAATAAATCATTCGACATTTTCGGCTATTATTAAAATTAAGCTAAAATAAACATTAAAAATATTAATGCATACCTCATTTTATATAAGAAATTTACATACCTTGATGATTTGGTATAAAAGGAGCACTTGCCATTGATGTAGAAATGGCATTAGAGTGAATGACGCTATGCGGTATTATCTGGGTGGGTGTAGTTGTATGGTTGCCGGGATTCTGGCCATGGATAGGATAACTCTGAAATACTGGATGAAATTGTTGGGGCATGAACACCAACGGGTGTGATGGTGCCTCGTAATTAGGATGGTTATTATGGGAATGTTGATTAAAGTGAGCTATGTGATTATTCAGGGAGGTTGTAGAATTAAGAACGTTAGTGCCAGACTGAAGAGAATGTTGTATGAGTCCGTGATACACAATCGGCTGAGGGGTGAGAGCCGGTCCGGGATGTCCAGTTGGGGTAGGAGTGTGAGCAGGAGTAATGTGGGTTCCGTTTGACGGCGGCTGATTTACAGGAGACGATGCATGAGAGTGAGGAGTTGAAGCATTAGAGTGTGATCCCACCGACCCTTGTGGTACACTATTAACGGGTATAGTATGTGTTGGTACCGCAGTTGATGTACCCAGATGCGGTGGCACTGAAAGATTATACATGTATAGTTTTGGATACAATACTACATCAAACATAATTATAGAAGTAAAAGATTAATTCATAAAAATAAATTGCAAATGACAAGAGAAAATAATCAATATAAAATTTGATCCACGAATATAATTAATGAAAATTAGTTTAAATTTTTAAATCTTATTCACAAATTTAGATGTTAAAAATGCTAGTTTTAATCCTAAAAGTATTAAGAAGAGACATATTAAAACTAATTATATAAAGTAAAATTCAATGCAAAAATTATTTTCTAATACATTTTCAAAATTTTAACTTGTTAAATATGTTAAAAGCATGTGAAAAAATAATAAATTTAATTTAGTAAAAATATATGTTTAAAGATTTTACTTTATTACATTTTCCTTTGAATTATTGAATGTAAAAAAATTACATAATTCAGAAGATCAAAAGTCTTTTTCTTGGCAATGTATATGAAAATTTACATTGTATGTAAATTATACTTAGCTTATGCTGGCATGTAATCTCTATATAAATTAGCATTTCAAATTTGATTTTAAAATTAATTCAAAAATAATAAAACAGCTTTGAACATTCAGCATAAAAGAAATAGAAAACTAATTTTTTTTAATGTATCTAAATAACTTAGTACATAAACTGATTGATTGATTTACTAAAAAGTAAAAAGTTAATTCAGGACTCAGCCATAATTCAGCTCCATGTTTATAAAGAGTGAGTCAAAAATATCCATACAAAACACAGACCACATGAAGGAACATACTTGTAATATTTGTAACTATGTAACATCAGTTATGTTAACTCTTTTACTGGCACAAATGAGAATTTTTCATACATGCTATTTTCAATTATACTGCTTTCTGAGAATTTCTCTTACTAACCTTGACTTTATTAACCTGTGGTTAATAAAAGTTAGTAAGTGAAATTCTCAGGAAAGGTAACATGCATTTGCTTTGAGTGGAGGAAAACATTCGTATATGCAATCACTTAAATGGCAGTCACATATTTTATGATTTATAAGTGACTGCATTATAAGGTGATCCCTTTACCTTTGTACAAAGACTTCTGAATCACCCTATAGTTCAATAATTAAATGTAACTATGTTGCTGATATTCTGTTCAAAAGATAACACAGAAATATAATGGAATTAAAATAAATAAATGTAAAATTTATATTTGTAGAATTGATAAACACTGGAAGGTGGTACACATGCAATACAACAATTCTAAACATTCCAGTTTTGTAACTAAGCATTTTTAACTTGCTTGTAGTTTTGGCAAAACACCTAACCTGTTTACAATATTATCTTAAAACAAATAAACTATATATATTTGCATAACTGATTACTCGAGATTTTGAAATGTTTTACAAAACTCCAATTATCACCCAATGATGATTAGTACCTGTTTAAATTATGTTCTAAACTGGCTGTAGTAGAAATTAAGAAATTAAATATGTGGAAGGTATTTTAGTGGATTTGTACAGTTGTTTTCCTTCAAATATTAATTATTTGCCAATTATTCAGAGATATAAACATAGAAGTTTTGGGATACCAAATTTTAATCCATCATTGAATGTAGCTTTATCAATTGGATATTGAAAATAACAACAATTTCCAAATCTTACAATATATCAGCACAATAATAAGTACAGTTGAGCATCAATTATCTGAATATCGATCAACCGAAAGCATTCCAGTTGGCAAATTTAAATTTCCACTAATGCTGTGGTGCTCCAATATTTGGCTATTCTATTTTGGCTGTCTTTGGCTACTCCAATATTATTTTTGTTGGTGTGCGTGTTTTAGCTGGCAGCACTGGCATGACCATGAGAGGTTAGTTAAGGACGCACCAGGATTTGAACAAATTTCAACATGGGATAGATTCATATATTTTTTTGTACATAATCGGTTATCCGAACAAATACAGTCCCAAATTGTTTCGAATAATTGATGCTCTACTGTATATCATTTTAAATGTTTCTCTTCAAAAGTTATTAATATAAAATGAACAACTCACTATAAAGATTTGTTGAAAATTGGGGAGTCTCTCCTTGCGATGGATTAGCAGAAGCCATCATTCCAACCGGCTGTGGTGACAATACTCGTGGTCCAATCATCGGATACATCTAAAATTTAAAGTGATACAAAAAAAAAACTGTTAGTATTTTTGATTAATAGATTTGAATACTAATTTTTATATTATGTAATGTCATGCTATTTTAATAATATCTATTTTTTAAAATAAATCAATGTATTTAATGAATCTGAAAAGATCTAAAAATTAACAATATACATTAACTATATTTGGTAAGGTTACAATTATTTATTCTATACTTATGTAAATATGGTAAGTAATGCTAAAATAGCATGATAAGGCTCCCAAAACAATGATATTTATATTGAAATAAATGGAAAAGTGTTGATAAAAAAGAAAACAAAAATATGAAATAAGGAAATTATATAGAACTCCATAAGAAAAACAAGTTAAAATGAATTAAATGATAATGCGGGATTTAATGGGCCATAACTGGGTAGTTAAATATAGAACATAATTTGGATTAAAGGTAGGAGACTAAAATGTAAATTAAAATGATTATCTTATCGATAAACAATTAATTATTTGCGAATTCAAGTTTTCAAGTTATTATTACAATTTATTAATTTACATAAACTCAGTAGCTGTAGTATGTATCCATATTGCAACGTTTAAAGTGTCTAAAAATTTTAAATTAAATTAGAGGAATAAAAACAATAAGACTTTTAATTCAAATGGTATTTTTAAATTTTTTAGTACAAAAATCTTTGGTAGCATATAATATAAATGGCTACAAAATTTTCTTTTTAAACAATTTTCCTACAAATTTCTCACAATATCTATTCATTATTAATGTATCAATTAAAATGAAATTAGATTACTCGATGGTTTACAAACATGCTGCAGTTTTGTAGTTAGTTCCAAGACTTGATGAATTAATTACATTTACTCTTCAGATGATAAGCAAAAGAAGTAATGTTTCCCTCTCAAAAAAAATAAGTAAAAATGAAGATGTAAAATTATTTTGCAGAAGAGCAGCATTTCCCAAACATCTTATGGTCCCTCTCAAAATAAAACCATGTAGAAAATAAATCATCTCCTGCCTTGATAATTATTTAACTTTATGCTAAACTTAATTATTAGGGAGGAGAGCTAATATTTGATTTATTATACTAACTCGTTTAAGAATAAAATTTCTTTGCATCTCCATTTCTTGTTCCTTTTCTCCTCCACTCTGCATCCCTTTCGAGAATTTTCGGCCATAGTTTGGGAACTGCTGCTGTAAAGCATCAATCTAAAATTATCTACAGATATTAAAAAAAAGCACCTATATATATAAAAGAGGATGAAAAATTGTTAGGCAATTATGAAGTACTAATGAAATAGAATAATCCAAATTATTTTGATACTTCACATGAATAAATTAAGACATTTTAAATCAATCAAACATGCACTATTTAATGTCAATAATTAATCAAAATTTAATGATTATAGAAAAAATATATATATATATTTACTCAAAATTTATTTAATAAAACAGTAAATATTTTAAATATATTTATTAGAAAGAAAACAAAATATTAAAAATGAATAATCTTTACTGTTTTACATTGAATTTGCTGGAACTTTATCCAAATTCTACAGGTGAAAATTCTACAATAAACTAATTTACTTTTATGTTACAAAAAATGAAAGTATAAAGAATTTTATACGGCTTTATTATTTTAATGTCAACTAATTAAAAATAATAATAATGCATCATTGAAAATGTGAAAAATTTGGCATCATGGTTCAAAGCATGAAAAGGATAAAATGGCTTGATTCAGGTAATAAATGAAGTTTTATTTAGAAATGTTTTTGATCTGTAATCAAGAAATCCCTAGCTTAAATGCAGCATTCAATTTTCATCCAAGCTGGAATGAGCTGTTTAGGAGCCAAAAAAAAAAAACCTTTTGATTACAAGAATCAAGAGCCTATTGTCCATTTCATATGCTTTGATATTGTGTTTCATAAACCTTAACATTTTTTTTAATAATATAATGTTAGTAAAATTGTAAGATTAAATTATATTTATACACTGATAAAGTTTGAATTTAATATATATTTTAGTTATTGCTGTATTTGTAATATATGCAGATTTTATCAGATACAATTTGGAATATAGTGTGTTATTGCTAATCAGAACTAATTGTTGCACAGAATTGTTTAGCTTAGTAAAAATTTGCATTTGATAAGTTTTTATAGGATGGCATTAGCCCGTAACGACTCAAGTGCAAAAGTTGAATATGAGGAATGATTGATGTGGGAAATATTAAGCAACAATCAATAAGAAATACCAAGCACTAAAGTAGTTCTTCAGATAAATATCACAATTGTTGACTATGCTTCTTTGAAGCTGCTGTACAAATGGTTGTATCTATTACTTCGTATGATTTTAAGGTGCTTGAAGAAGCAGAGATCTTGATTAAAGGCTTTTATAGCTGTACGGCACTTAAGCCATTGTTTAATGTAAACTGTTACAACAAACAGAGAAGTATCAAATAAAGCTTATTCTTCTCTGATGAATAGCTTAATCTTAGGAAAAACATTTTTTAGGAATAAATTGTTCTTGCCATCAATTGATCTTGATGCATAGTGCAGGAAGGACAGAGTTTTAGTTTCTTCTCTGTGTCATCTCTTAAAAATAGTATACACAGATCTAAGTTCATGATAACCACTTCTTGGCATTTATTTCTGCAGTTCAGCTTTATAGAAGTCCAATAGTTCTTGAAGTTCTACATAATCTTTACCACTTTGATAATTACTAGCATCAACATTTCATCAACTTTCTCTTAATTGTATGAAGACAGGGATGTTAGGACTACTTGTTATCTCACATATTTTGCTTTCAAATTCATTTCTTAAGAGTAAGAAATGAATATGATGGCAACAGGGGGAAAACAACTTTGTACGCAATATTTGTTCAATGAGGATGCATGAAACATTTGAGAGGCCAGTGTTTGAGGCAACTGTATCACTACACAGAATTTTTACATTGTTTTCCAAACTCAAGCCTGTTATTGCATTCCTGATGGCTCATGCCTGCTCTTTACCATAAGCATTTTCTAATTTTCGAACACCAATGAACTGTTCTTTATGTCCAAATGTTAAAACTATTGGGAATCTTTCTTCTTTTGGTTCCCTAACATTCAATGCAGTTAACAGCTTACCATCCCAGTGAACAGACAGAATTTCAGAGATATCATAAAATGCAGCTTTAATGGCTTCAGCCCATTCTTTACTTTTATTTTGCTTGATTCAATGAATGAAAGATCTATTAATAGAGAGTTCTTCAGTGTTGTAACAAAGTGCTTCTGCTGTTGCCTAAAAAATATAAACAGCATCTCTTACACTCATTTGTCTAAAGAAGCCACTAATTTGTCAGTAATAAAATCTTTGGTTCTGCACCTTGTAGTATTCTGCCTCGGTGTATCATTCAGAAACTGTAAAGACAACTCACCATCACTGCATTCATCAATACTGAAAAATGTGCCATCTTCATCTTCGTATGATAAGAGAGAAAGTGAAGCTGAAGAGGCGAATGCCACTGACTACTTACTTTGTCTTTTCCTCTCTTCAAGTTTCCTTTTCCTTGACCGTTCTTTTTTGGAGAGTTTTCGGTCCACACCTGCAAGACAGTTTCTTTGCTCTGTTTGTCTCTGCCACAGTAAAAACTCTATTCTTATCTAATTTGATGGTTTGTAGAGCATTTGCATATGTGATATCAAACAGGCTGTTCAGATTGTTTTGAAACACTGCTTCAGTGCTTAAAAATGTCTTGAGTTCTTAATTTTTTTGTAATTTTCTCCACTCCAAATATAAATCTAAGTTTTTACAACGCTAAAGGGATCTTGCCAGAATTCTTTTTTTTTTATTACCCAAAAAGCAAGAAACCTGACAAGATCCCTTCAGCATTTAACCTATATTTACTTAACCTCTCTTATGTTTAAAATAAAACAGCCAGCACTTGTCTATTTGATGGCAAGTTGTCTATAGTTATTATTTAGTGTTTCACATTCCTTGGAACTGCATAAATCATATGACATATTATTAGTATAACAGAGCACAAATATATCTAATACAGCTGGAAACCGAACACGAACTGATAGTGCTCCATGTGTAACAACCAGTCCAGGCCTGACTAAAATGTGGCATATCCACACACATTGACACCCAAGTTGGCTTGGATTAATATTCTTCGATCGTCAAGAAATTAAATATGGACATGTTTTTGAGTGAAAGGAAAAAAATAAGCAGGTGGGCAATTCAAAAATTTTGAAGTCAGAAAATAAGGAACATTACTGTACACACATATAGGACTACAGACAAATACATACAGTTAAAAAACTTTTTATGCTGTATTAGTCACATATATTTATGTTAAAATGCTATTTTATAAATTTGTTGTGTTTTTAAATTATAATTTAAATCTGTTTTTGTCTTGAGCTGGAACTTTTATGTCCAAATTCACTACAAAGATCAAGAGTTAAAGTTACAAGTTAACCAATTACCATTAACCTTTGAGTATGTAAACACTTATTGGCTAACCTCTAACTCTTGATCCTTTGTTGTGAATATATGGAAAAATGAATAAAATTAGACTGGATTAAGCAAAGTTCAGATTGGCAGAAGTACACTGTAATCTAATTGTTATTAAAAATATATATACTGTATGTATTGTATTATGTATTTTTATATTGTGTGTTGTTTTTCTAGTTTGTAGCATTTTTGAAAATTAATTTATAAACAGAAAATGTACTTAAATATCAAAGAAAACACCACAGATTTGAATACCTGAGGATAAGCCAATGGTTGGTGTCCAGCAAATGGCATAATTCCTGGTGAATGTGGATATTGCAATGCCAATTGGCCTTGAGCAGTTTCCAATATTGGAGTTCCCGTTGCAGCAGCTAAATCAAACATATAATTTAATCAAAAATTTGAGATACAAAATTGTTATTTGTTATGTATTTNATGTAGATAGCTACAACAAATTACTATAATTCTTAAGTATCTTTACAGGTATATAAGTTTAAAAAGTTTCAAAGTGGCATATATTTAATGTTACCGCTTTCTGTAGTGTGACTAATATTACTAGACTTTCCAGTTGTGTATGTAGAACTTGTGGAATAGCAGATTCTAGGCACCGTAGGTGCATTTTCTGTGTGCACTAACTGAGTTAGATTGCAATTTTCGAATTGTAGATCTATAAATTCCCACTAGCATCTGTTTGCCGCAACATCCTTTAATCTTGGAACAAAGAGATAAAAGCTAAGACCAGGCAAGGAAAGCTTTCCTTGACTGGAGGAGCCCCCAGTTAACTATATATAAAGCTCCAGTATTTAAAAGAAGTTACGAAATTTCAACTCAAACATTTTCTCCAGAATGGAGTTAGACAGTTGACAAGAGTTAGAAAGATGTCAGGAACAGTATGATGCATAGGGACAAAATCCAGAGCATATATTTTAAATTAAATAAATTAAAAATAAGAGCTTGGTATTGTGACGATATTACAATAATTTTTGCTTATTGTATATAGTTAGTTATACATTGTTTAGTGTAAGTATTTTGCATATTGTGTGTTATGAATGGATATGCCTGTACTAATACAAACGTGTATATTTCAAAAGGTAGATAATTTTATCTGTAAAAATAGCTTAGTAATGCTACCATTTCAAATTATTGTAAGTATCTAATATGTAAATGGCCAGGACAATAATACAATATAAAAATATATTCACAAAATTGAAAGAAACAATAAATTTAAAATTTTGTCCTTTTCAACATCTCAGGAACAACAGACTTTGCAACAGAGTCGACCTTTTATAATATACTTTTATTTCCATGAAATTTTTAACATTTTTGAATATTGAGGCAAATGAGTATTCTCAAATAAAAAATTGACTCTGCCATAAACGTTCTTGAGATGTTGAAAAGGACTAAATAAGACGACATTCATTGTTTCTTCCAATTTTGCAAATATTTTTTATATTTTATTGTAATTATATTAATTATTATCTGAGAGGTATGCAATATACTCCAATCGACAGAGTAAGCATCAGAGTTTCATCTCCCATCTGCATTCAAATATCTTGTTCTCTACTACCTTTAAAAGTGTTATAAATAAAAATGACAACTTGGCATAGAAAAAGAATTTTGTGTTCTGCAATTTAAAAGTAGGAATCACTCATAATTGCATAACATGAGTAATTTGAAGGAACTGGAAAAGCTATAGAATTATAGCTGCTGTGGGAGGAGGGACAATGTCATCAGATCGATATATTTGTATGTTCTATTTTTGAAATATATTTCTGTATTAACACGATCATTACAAAATCGTTTTTAATTAAATACTCTACTTTGATAGCTAAAACATTATATTTAGAGCTGTGGATTAAATCTGCGCACACATTCAGGCTTTTTATATTTATGAAAATGACATACTAGGCACCCAAGACCTATAATAGACAAAGTGAGACCACTCACCCATTTATTGGAGAGAGACATACAGAATCTAATGAAGTGGTTACATAACATCATGTTATTTAACAACGAACATATAACTGTACTGGACTTTGTTTCTTTATATTGCCATTTCTTTGCAACCTTGCTTTTGTGCCTTACATAATTGGTTGTTTAAAACTGTGAATGGTCCACACCTCCACAATCAGGTATTAGAGCTAGAACACACATGCTATTCTACATGTTTCAAATTCAATAATATCATTTACCTGCAGTGCAGGGGTTACCAATGGTAAGTCCCCTTTCAGCAGACCTATGTAAACTGATTGTTTATATGCTACAAAATTACCTGTTTTTCTCCCAAATATCATATTTTATGCAAGGTATATTGAAGACATCCTCATCATTTGGAAATCAAAACCAGACATTAACATCTTTTTAGAACATATCAGCAATACATATGGGCTCACTTTTAAACAGTTCAACAATACCTCTGCACTTTTTAGACCTGAACATACAATTCAAAGGTGGTCACATTGAAACTGGGATAAATTATAAACCAGAATACTGACCATTATTTATTTTGGCTTCCAATCTAGCAATCCCTAAAATTACAAAGAGGTGGCATTCAGGGCTCTAACTAAAGATGAGTGTTCAAACACTGCTCAAACATCCTTGACACACTGGATGAATTAAAACACACTCAAGCATGGATATTCTAGAAAAATGATAGAGAGATTGGTGCTTATGTGTGCATGTAAAGCAAATGAACATACTCCAAGAAAATTCTAAAAATCAACAAAATGCAAATAAATCCAAATGTGTAATTGTCTAGTACAGTCAAAGACTCCACCAAATAAACAGAAAAATTTTTTGATAAAATTTCTGTCTGATGGCAAATATTTCTTTGTAAATAAAGATCCAAAGATTCTTTTGAAAACCACCATTTTATTACGTGTTATAGAATAAAACTTTAGACAACCAGACCTTCTTTTATAGGCTACTCGTCCATCCAGTTAAACCATTCCTTAAAAACAAAAAAAAATATCCAATTAAAAATATAAATTTAAAAAATTGGAACTGGTAAATCTTACGTCGTCTTCAAGTTTTCCATTCAACGGAAATTTTATCAAAATACTTTTGCAATAATTCGTCACCAGGAAATACCAGAAAATCTATATTTAACAGCAGTTTCTTCCAGTGGATATAAAGGTCCGAAATTCCCGAATGGAATAGAATGAAAACCTGAAGATATCGTAAGATCCACCAATTCCAATTTTTTAAATTTATATTTTTAATTGGATATTTTTTTTGTTTTTAAGGAATGGTTTAACTGGATGGCCAAGTAGCCTATAAAGGAAGATCTGGTATCATCTAAAGTTTTATTCTATAACATGTAATAAAATGGTGGTTTGCAAAAGAATTTTTGGATTGACTGTCTTTATTTTTAAAAAAATGTACTTATGTGTAGATACAATCCCCTGGTGTATAACCACCAAAATGGAAATTAAAGCTAACATAGAACAAGCCATGCTAATCAGGCATACCCTCCATACAGATCAAGCCAGATCCCTCGAGACCAAGGAAATATTAAAGGTAGCAAATAGAGAATTTCAACGACAGTGAGAAGTTATCAGCGCCGCCTAGAAATCTTTGTAAGACCACTTGAGAACAACTCAGGAAACTAGAGTTTTTAATTTTTACCAAATCACACATTATTATACAATATGTTAATTTTGTACAGAACATGCTAATAAATTTCAAAGTCATTCCAAGGTTTGAATTTTGTAACAATCATATTAGAACTCGCATATATTTTATAAATAGAAGGTATTAATACATCAGCCTGATAAAGGATATTAACAGGTCAAAAACATTTGTATATTGAAATTATTTGCTAGTGTGAAGATAAGGTTATTTTTATGTTAGTTTTCATATGTTTTAATTTACATTACAACTAAAAACACTGCAAAAGATTTAAAATAAACATTCGGCCACCTTCCATACTGGTTCCATAAGGATCATTTATTGGAAAAAACAAATGTTTCTAATCAGTTTAAGAGATATTCATTGTTGGAAATGTATAACAACCTGACAAAAATCTCTGAAAGTTTATTCAAAAAAAAAATAATAAAACAAAACGTTTGTTTTTTTGAATAAAAGGAATGTTGTAATGCACACTCACAGATATTGAGTATGCATTACAACATTCTTAGATAATAATTAACATAATTACAATAACTTAAAATGGTAGCATTCTTTTTGGAAGACTGTGTATTACGATTTACATAAAAATAACAGTTACTTTACAACCATTACTTTAATCAAATGTTCTTAATGATACATAGCTTATAAAATAAAATCTTAAAAAATTAATATTTTATCTCTTTTATGCACATGCTTTTACTTAGAAATGTCTGAATATTTTATCCAATGTTAATAAATCATTCGACATTTTCGGCTATTATTAAAATTAAGCTAAAATAAACATTAAAAATATTAATGCATACCTCATTTTATATAAGAAATTTACATACCTTGATGATTTGGTATAAAAGGAGCACTTGCCATTGATGTAGAAATGGCATTAGAGTGAATGACGCTATGCGGTATTATCTGGGTGGGTGTAGTTGTATGGTTGCCGGGATTCTGGCCATGGATAGGATAACTCTGAAATACTGGATGAAATTGTTGGGGCATGAACACCAACAGGTGTGATGATGCCTCGTAATTAGGATGGTTATTATGGGAATGTTGATTAAAGTGAGCTATGTGATTATTCAGGGAGGTTGTAGAATTAAGAACGTTAGTGCCAGACTGAAGAGAATGTTGTATGAGTCCGTGATACACAATAGGCTGAGGGGTGAGAGCCGGTCCAGGATGTCCAGTTGGGGTAGGAGTGTGAGCAGGAGTAATGTGGGTTCCGTTTGACGGCGGCTGATTTACAGGAGACGATGCATGAGAGTGAGGAGTTGAAGCATTAGAGTGTGATCCCACCGACCCTTGTGGTACACTATTAACGGGTATAGTATGTGTTGGTACCGCAGTTGATGTACCCAGATGCGGTGGCACTGAAAGATTATACATGTATAGTTTTGGATACAATACTACATCAAACATAATTATAGAAGTAAAAGATTAATTCATAAAAATAAATTGCAAATGACAAGAGAAAATAATCAATATAAAATTTGATCCACGAATATAATTAATGAAAATTAGTTTAAATTTTTAAATCTTATTCACAAATTTAGATGTTAAAAATGCTAGTTTTAATCCTAAAAGTATTAAGAAGAGACATATTAAAACTAATTATATAAAGTAAAATTCAATGCAAAAATTATTTTCTAATACATTTTCAAAATTTTAACTTGTTAAATATGTTAAAAGCATGTGAAAAAATAATAAATTTAATTTAGTAAAAATATATGTTTAAAGATTTTACTTTATTACATTTTCCTTTGAATTATTGAATGTAAAAAAATTACATAATTCAGAAGATCAAAAGTCTTTTTCTTGGCAATGTATATGAAAATTTACATTGTATGTAAATTATACTTAGCTTATGCTGGCATGTAATCTCTATATAAATTAGCATTTCAAATTTGATTTTAAAATTAATTCAAAAATAATAAAACAGCTTTGAACATTCAGCATAAAAGAAATAGAAAACTAATTTTTTTTAATGTATCTAAATAACTTAGTACATAAACTGATTGATTGATTTACTAAAAAGTAAAAAGTTAATTCAGGACTCAGCCATAATTCAGCTCCATGTTTATAAAGAGTGAGTCAAAAATATCCATACAAAACACAGACCACATGAAGGAACATACTTGTAATATTTGTAACTATGTAACATCAGTTATGTTAACTCTTTTACTGGCACAAATGAGAATTTTTCATACATGCTATTTTCAATTATACTGCTTTCTGAGAATTTCTCTTACTAACCTTGACTTTATTAACCTGTGGTTAATAAAAGTTAGTAAGTGAAATTCTCAGGAAAGGTAACATGCATTTGCTTTGAGTGGAGGAAAACATTCGTATATGCAATCACTTAAATGGCAGTCACATATTTTATGATTTATAAGTGACTGCATTATAAGGTGATCCCTTTACCTTTGTACAAAGACTTCTGAATCACCCTATAGTTCAATAATTAAATGTAACTATGTTGCTGATATTCTGTTCAAAAGATAACACAGAAATATAATGGAATTAAAATAAATAAATGTAAAATTTATATTTGTAGAATTGATAAACACTGGAAGGTGGTACACATGCAATACAACAATTCTAAACATTCCAGTTTTGTAACTAAGCATTTTTAACTTGCTTGTAGTTTTGGCAAAACACCTAACCTGTTTACAATATTATCTTAAAACAAATAAACTATATATATTTGCATAACTGATTACTCGAGATTTTGAAATGTTTTACAAAACTCCAATTATCACCCAATGATGATTAGTACCTGTTTAAATTATGTTCTAAACTGGCTGTAGTAGAAATTAAGAAATTAAATATGTGGAAGGTATTTTAGTGGATTTGTACAGTTGTTTTCCTTCAAATATTAATTATTTGCCAATTATTCAGAGATATAAACATAGAAGTTTTGGGATACCAAATTTTAATCCATCATTGAATGTAGCTTTATCAATTGGATATTGAAAATAACAACAATTTCCAAATCTTACAATATATCAGCACAATAATAAGTACAGTTGAGCATCAATTATCTGAATATCGATCAACCGAAAGCATTCCAGTTGGCAAATTTAAATTTCCACTAATGCTGTGGTGCTCCAATATTTGGCTATTCTATTTTGGCTGTCTTTGGCTACTCCAATATTATTTTTGTTGGTGTGCGTGTTTTAGCTGGCAGCACTGGCATGACCATGAGAGGTTAGTTAAGGACGCACCAGGATTTGAACAAATTTCAACATGGGATAGATTCATATATTTTTTTGTACATAATCGGTTATCCGAACAAATACAGTCCCAAATTGTTTCGAATAATTGATGCTCTACTGTATATCATTTTAAATGTTTCTCTTCAAAAGTTATTAATATAAAATGAACAACTCACTATAAAGATTTGTTGAAAATTGGGGAGTC